AAAAAAAAAAAAAAAAAACTCGAGAAGCCTTGAACTCATTCGAAACGGAGTCGCCCACCTTCTGAAACCATGAGCCATATTCTTGAAGCTCCGGAAGGGAAGAGAAAGTCGAGACAGCTTTCTTAAGTTATGAGTTTCCTGACAAAGAAAGCTGCATATATATATCTCTCCTCCAAAACTCCATATGCTTTTCACCTCCCCCTTTTCCGGCTGTGTTTTTTTCGTGGCAAATCCTTTTTCTCCTCGGATGCCACATCCGCTTCTTTTACCCAAACTCCGTCTCGACTGCAACACCAGCCGCACATTTCGCCCGGGACATATAGCATAGCCTCACCCTCCCACTCTTCTTTTATCACATGCTCCTCCAGTTTTCTCAGATCCACAAGTGCCGGTTAAGAAAGAGAAAAAAACAGAACGAATCAAGCGGAAAAGTCCAGCCCTGTCTATATAGCACAGGAACACATCTCATTTGGGGCAACCTGCAAATATATGTCTTTATTTCAATGTTTGAATTGGGTTCGCTGACTAGGTAGGTAGTAGTGCTGCAGTTGGTTGACCGGAAAGGAATGTGATAGGGACTGATGAAGATATATAAACTGCTTATGGCAATCTGCGAGAAATACCAGGGAGGGGAAGGGTTATGTATATCTCCAAGTGACAATCCTCTTCTCCAGCTCACAACCTTGCTTGGCATTCTTGGAACAGAAGCAATAAACGACATCCTAGCAGAAATCCTCATACAAGCTCCAGGAGGCAATATCCATCAGCCAGTAACAAGCCAAAACGTAAGGGCGCCCACCGTCTGGCTTTCGTCCTGGCAGCATTCAGTGAGGGTGGCCCCCAAATTTCTCAACTCGTCCAAGTTATGCGGCAGCACCGGTCGGCCGAGTCCTCCCCTTCCCGCATCGATGGTAGGCTCTTGGCTCATTTGCTTGCAGCAAGCCGGGACACTTCGAATTACGTGCAGCTCGTCTATCCAAAGGAGCGGGAGGATCGGGCTGTCCAGGGAGCTCGTGCTTGCGGTCTCGACTGCGCTCTTTACCCCGTCCCGTTTCTGAAATGGCCGCCAAAAGGGTTTCCAAAGGTATGTATTAGGTCTCTGTTGTCTGTCTGCGACCTGGATGATCAGCGACGAAACAATCCTGCATGGTTTCGGCCTCTGCCACTCTCTTTTTTCTCATTGGACAAGCAATGAGACTGTCGACGCTGTAAGTTCGATGCCCATCAACTGTCTTTAGATTTCATCGTGGATCTTGTCCGCGACCAAGTCCTTCGATGTATTGACCACCATCTCCGTCGACCCGCCCAGCGGCTCAGCTGGGCTACCTAGGCCGCCAGCAATTGGACTCATCTGGCCGCTCTCAGGCCTGCTCATGGGCCGGCTTCCTGGTACCCTGATATCATCGGGAGAAGCAGACAGCATCTTGGGGTCCAAATTGGGGATGCGGATACGCCTGGCTTCGTTCTGGTAGGCTGCTGGAATAATCTCGATGATCTCGTCACGGGGGAACTTGAGACTGGGGATATCCATGGTGGAGCAGTGCATCAGGTAGGCGAACAGCACGCGAAGAACAGACTCGTGTGCGATAATCAGCAAGTCACTCTGTTCTCGCTCCAATTCCAGGATGATGGGCTCGAGTCGAACAGCAAGGTCGTGGTAGGACTGCACAACAGAAAGCCGAGTTAGCTATCGATCCTTGTGACGGAAGCGGACTCGGTGCACATGTAACTTACCTCGGCACGAGGATATCGATGATGATAGGGATCGAGTGCATGCTTTTCAACCTCTTCGGGGTATATCTGCCTGATTACTCGCTCTGACATTTTTTCGCAGACACCGGGGTTGATCTGACTCATTTGAGAGCGCTGCCGAACCTTGTAGCCTTTTTCTTTGAGGTAGTCGGCCGTTTGAATTGTGCGAAGACGAGTGGACGTCCAGATGGAAAGCGGTCGTAGGGGAGTATCGGGCTTGCCCTTGGCAATCTGTTCCAGCCTCTCTTGTTCGCGATGTTTCAGAAGCGTCTCGGACATCATCTTAGCGTAATATCTGCCCTCTTCTGAGAGTTCGGCGTCTGCCTTATAGGAATCTTCTTCCGCTGTTGTACCTGCCCGGGCAAAGAAGGTGGTTCGGGACTTGATGTGGAGGTTGGTGAGGTAGAAGACGATTCTGTGGGAGAGGTAGTTGAAGCTGAGGTTGTTGTAAAAGAACTTTTGACCGGCGTTGATCATCTTGATGTAGTTGAGCTCCTTTTCTTCCATGGTCTCGAACACAGGAATCCTCATTTCTATCCTTTTCAGGTACATTTTTGCCGCTTCCTCGCGATCCATTCCAGCAAACTACAGTCACTATTAGTAGCCGAGGGAGAAAACGATGCAGGTGCGCTTTGAGCTCATCAATACTTACATCGGGCGAAGAGATTTTGACATTGATGGCATTGTCATGCAGGATTTGCTCGTCATTCACATACGACTCGATGAATAAAGTCTGTCAAGGGGCCAATGTTAGCAGAGCCAAAGATGAAGGGGAGTGAAAGGGGAAAGTTCCAGTAGCCATAAGCCCTTACCTGGACGTCATGCTTTGCAAATTCCTTGGCCAGAGCGCGTCTTCCGCTCGCCGTGGGGTTTACGGCATCGTAAATGGCGACTTGGCCGTTTTCGTGGTTCAGCCAGGCATAGATGTCTTCACGACATTTCTTGAGAATCTTTTGGCGAAGGATGACGGATGAAGGAGATGCATCCGGGAAGAAGTAGTCATCGGGGAGCGTGCCTTCGGGACCAATGGTTGCTCGCCTGTAGTCTCCCAAGTGGAAAATACGAGTCTTGACACCGAGCCACTGGAGATAACGTGCCATGGATACACAAATATGCCTGGTCACAATGTCAGTGTTTAGACTGAGCTTCTGCACTCTCGAAATAATTCATTCTACTTACGTCTTGCCTCGAGCGGGCGGGCCAACCATGACAATGGCAATACGGCCAGAGTGAAACAGCCGCCCAGACATGGTGCTGTAGAGTTGGGCGGGCGCCATGTCGTTGTCTTCCGAGACATCATGGATGCTGTCGATGAAGGTTGAGCTCCTCCGGCGATACCGGGGAGCGTTTGCCGCAATCTCAGCGGTTCTGGAGGGCGGGTTAGTCAGTTTGCTTTCCATTTTGTCAAAATCAGATTTTGCACAATGAAGGTGGAAAACTGGTTTCCAAAGTCGCACGTAGCGGACAAACACGACGTGGTCAAGGCTGGATGGGTCAGGGGGGCAGGGGTTGAATAGGAGAAGTGAGCGGGCTAGGCGTGAAAGCTTTGAAGGGCTTTCACGATGGTGAATCTCCGGGTCCGATGTCTTGCACATGCTAAGTAGAACGTATGAGATTTTCTCACTCACAGTAAGGTATCCATTCTGCCACCTTGAATTAACTTGGAGCAGGCAATCGGATGATGCGCTTGAAGCTTGTTTTTGGGTCCGGAATCTGTAATTTCAGGATTGGTGCCAATGTGGATTGGGCTTTTCTTGGCTCCTGAAAGATCCGAGCCTATGTGCTGATGAGCTGAGTGATACACCCGCAGGCACCGAGGGCCTTGGAGGTGAGAATGTGTGTAGAACCTGAGCGAGAGCTGAGGACGTTTGTGCGGTGTGATATGCGAGATGCTTTCCAACTGAGTTCAGCCTCGCGCCCCGCTTCCGAGGAATGATGACGCAGCAGGGACTCGGACGAGGAGATGCTCGGTTGCTTGAATGAGTATTCTGGGCTCTGGGCTCTAGGGAAGCCTGTAGGTGCAGGCCGTATCTGTATGGATGCAGATTCGTGATATCGATGAAGCTGTCCGAATGCCGCGAAGAAGGGCTGCAGCCGCGTTTGCTAAGGTATGCTTGGGCGGATATATTCGGTTCTAGGGTACTGGCTTTGACGGATGCAAAATGATGAGGCCGCTTCATGCAGGTGAGGCGGCGCTACGGGCACTTACGGAGGTACCTGCAAGTACTCCCGTCTGGACTGCCGCGGTAAAGTAGGTACGTCACTCGGCGGCTGACATGATCAGGTTCTCGATTGCCCCGCCATTCGCTGTGATACTACTGCACTTTCCTCACGATTGCTTGTGAAGAGAAGGGCCATTGACGCGGCATCGAATGTACTTGAATTCTGATCGAAAACAATGAGATTATTTGAGATTCAGATGCATCATTGACAGCTTCAATTTCTGTAAAAAGGAGCCTGGAGTTGATCAAGGACCTGGGGGTACTGTAAGAGTACCTACGGATACCTGCACCCACAGAGGAGCACCCACGTGCTCCACAGCCACCGGGCCGGATTATTGTATCATCCGCCCACGCAAAACAGAGCCTGCAAAGAACCAAGCGAAGCCAAGCGGCGTCACAAATGTGGCTCGTGCAGCTCCCGCAGGCTACCGACCTGGCAAACTGGGTCGTCTTGAAAATTATTCTCAACGCCTCTCCATCCCATTACAGCCGCCTTCGGAGCTCGACCACTGCGGCAGCGCCAACACTCGCGAGGCTGACCTGAACAGCGACTACAGACTGCGATCCTCTGACCGCAGCCGTGCGACGTGCGAATCGACCTCCGCATCCCTCGTCTTGCAGCCGTCCAGTCCCTCCCTCTTCCTCGTCGGCTTGGCTCTCTCTCCAAAGAGCCGCCACACACACCCACCGGCATCATGGCCACCCCCGTCGACACATTGCGGTCCCTCCTCTTCTCCAACCCCGTCGCCGCGACAATAGGAGATGCCGTCAACTACTTCTCCGAGCGGAGGGCAAAGCTCGGCCTGTCCAACCCCGGCACAATAGAGAACCTGTCCAAGGAGGTCCAGCGCGATGTCTTCCTCAACAACTACATGTTCACTGGCATCCGCGCCGACCTCACAAAGATCTTCAGCATGGCGCCGCTGTTCCAGGTCTCCCACCAGTTCGCAATGGGTGAACGCATCAACCCGTACACCTTTGCCGCCATGTACGGCACCGGCAAGGTAAGCAGCATCGCATAGCGCACAGCATTGCATTGCCTATGGCGGAAACTTTTGCGGCATGGTTTAATGGTGTCCTAACTCCGAGCTCGACCTAGGTCTTCTGCCAAGGCAACGTCGACAACGAGGGCTCCCTCTCCGGCCGCTTCAACTACCGATGGACCGACAAGCTCGTCTCCAAGTCTCAGCTCTCCATCTCCCCCGGCGGCCAGGACATGGCCCAGTTCGAGCACGAGTACACCGGCGATGACTTCAGTGCGTCTCTCAAGATGCTCAACCCTTCTTTCCTCGAAGGCGGCATGACCGGCATCTACATCGGAAGCTACCTGCAGTCCATCACCCCCAAGCTCGCTCTCGGTCTGGAAACCCTCTGGCAACGCCCTGCCCTGACCCAGGGTCCCGAATGTGCCGTCTCCTACTGCGCTCGCTACAAGACATCTGACTGGGTCGCCACCGCTCAATTGCAGGCTGCTATGGGTACTGTCAATGCCTCGTACTGGCGGAAGCTGTCCGACAAGGTCCAGGCTGGCGTTGATCTGAGCCTCGGTCTTGTTCCCTCTCCCGGCGGTCTGATGGGTGGCGGTCTGCAGAAGGAGGGCGTCACCACCATTGGCGCCAAGTACGATTTCCGCATGTCTACTTTCCGAGCCCAGGTCGACTCCAAGGGCAAGCTGAGCTGCCTCCTGGAGAAGCGCGTGGCTCCCCCCGTCATGATGACCTTTGCTGCCGATATCGACCACTTTACGGTATGTGAACCCTGCCCCCTACTGTTACACTCGGAAAACAAAAATGCTTACTTCTTGATTAGCAACAAGCCAAGCTTGGCCTCGGTGTCTCGATTGAGGCTGCTCCCGAGGAGCTTCAGGACCAGCAGGAAGCTCTCGGCAGCCAGACTCCCCCCAACATTCCCTTCTAAGCACACAACGATTGGAGAATCCCACCACGAGGCAGATTCCGCAAACAACGATTTGGTTAAGAGACAACTAATGTAGCAGGACTGCGAGCCGACAATGGACGAGTTGATTCATCTTGCCGTCTCAAACCACGGCTTGTCTGATTAGTACGGGGAAGAAGATTAAGAAAAAAAAAAAAGAAGAAAAAACAAACATCCTCCGCCGCTCTTACTTGATGACGATATCGTTTCCTGATCTCCACCCTCTACATGGGGAAATGGAACCAATGGAAGAAAACAACAAGAAGAAGAAAAAAGAATAACAATCATTGACAACTCCTCCCTGTTCAAAAGACCGTGAAGCCCTCCTTTCTACGCCAAGGCTTTCACGGTCGGGGACGGAGGATCAGGAGCAGGTCAATGTGCTTCATGACCGGTGGCTCTCTCTCTCTCTCTCTCATGTCTTTTAAGGGATGGGAATACCATGCCTTCAATGCGTTATGGCATTTCCACCCCCTGTGTATACTAACATGTTTTTCCAATCAAAGTTCGGATCGGAGGGGGAGAAAGGAGAGGTTGTGTGCCGCTGAATGGAAACCAAGAAAAGATGATCAAAAAGGAGAGGGACGGGATGGAAAAGGGGCTGGAGTTTTCAAGTATAGCAAATATTCTTTTGCTTGCTTGAGGTTTCTTTTCATCAAGGCGGATTTGTACAAGAGAAGATAGAGAAATAACGAATGCTTGAATGGTAATGCAATTTTTTGACGAAACCAACCGAGACACTCATTATCAAAGAGCAAAGAAGAGCGCCTTCGCATAACAAACGAGCCATTACTCTCAATTATCAAGAACTGGCTGACTATAGTAACTGACTGTAACCCGCCCACTTTGAAGCCACACCTCTTTGTCCGCCCAGCAGCAAGCTTCTCGCCCCATAAACGCCGTGGTATCTCTCTATGTATACAGACTCTGAGTTGCCTTATTTTCTTCTGCTTCTCTTACCTCTGTTTGATTTCGCCCCGGCAACAACAGGGCTTCAAACTTCAACAATGCCGTGGTATCTCTTTTGATACATATAGTACCTAGGTACTCCTTCTCTCTCCTTCGTGGACCTGAGGATTCCTCCGTCAAAAGCACAATCTAAGACGCCGGCTTTTGTAAATGCATGTATCCAAATCAGGGGAAGGCTCCCGTGATGCCGTTTGTGCGTTTCGAACTCGTGGTTGTAATCAGTGTATGTATACCTTAGTAACCCGGAACCGCCTCACATCACCACGCACTCCCGCTCTGGTTGATCCCCAGACTTCTGCTTTTCGTTCTTCTCCTTGGACTTCTTCCTTCTATGCTTGTGCTTCTCACTTTTGTCGGCCTTGTCGGCCTTTTCGTGCTTGTCCGGTTTATCCGATTTGTCATGTTTCTCGTTGCCTGAGGGGGTCAGCAGCTGCTTCTCGATCGACGTAGGGGATCCCGGCTGTGGACTGCGTTGTCCCGCAGAGTTCGCAGATGAAATGTTGAGAGCTGGTGGTTCCGGCAGCGGCTCTTTGCTCGTCTTGGAGATCAGCCCGCCAAAGCGACTCAAGTTGAGACTGATACGACCCTCGCCCGATTGACTAGCCGGGCGACTCTGCTTCCCCAAGTTGAAGCGCGATGCGGCACGCGACAGGCGCGAGGATGTTGGCTCATCAACCGGTGCCATAGCAGGCGACTGGGTGTCGGGAGTAATGGCTGGCGATTGAGCAGCGGAGTCGGTTAGGGCGTAGCTCTGGCGACGCGACATGACCGTCTCTCCGTATGAGCCTCCAAAGTTCATGCTGATACCCTCCAGCCACTTGCGGGACGGGCGCTCGACTTCTGCGGATAATCGAATGCTGGGCGGCTTACTTTGGCCTAGACGACCAGTGGAGGCTGAGGGTTGGTGCTCGTGATGTGTTACCAGCGCTTGAGTGGAGGCCGAGGCCTTATGTTCATGATGCGCAGCCAGTGCTTGAGTAGAAGCCGAGACTTCTGGCTCATGGCGTGTTACCAACCCTTGGGTAGAACTAGTGGGCGTATCATCCGTGACCACCGAGCGCATCCTCTCGAGGCTGCTTCTCGAGTCGTCGTAGGACGGCGGCCCGCCCGCCGTGCTGTCTGTTGAAGGACCAGGTGGGTCGACCATAGGAACGATCTGATAGAACAGTAGGTACGGCATCTCGACCTTCAGGGATTCCTTTATATCCTCGACAAACGTGACTCGATTGCCGATTTCCAGGTCGTCAAACTTGACCCATTGTGCTTCCTCATAATCCGGAGGTGGGTCGATGGCATGCTTTCTGTTATCCGTCAAGAGCTTCGGGGCAACCCTGGCAAAGGCAATGTAGTGGCCGCTTTGCAGAGAATCGCCTCGGTGGCAGATGACGGATTGCAGAACAAGCTTGTACTCTGTCGCTAGCCCATTCGTCTCCTCTTCAATGTGCGGCCCGTCGGCGAGCATGAAGTGAGGGAGTCGCATGCTCTCCGGAATGTCGATGTACGTATTGTGGCGCTGGGGTCGACCGGACTCAGTCATGGCATATCGCTTCAGGCAAATGCCTACGACTGGGCGCTGGTCAAAGTTCATTGCGACCTCGACGTTGTTCTGCGGCTCGGTGCTCTTGACGGCGTGCCAGGCTGTGTACAGATTAGCAAAGAAAAGGTGACTCGTAGGTATGCCTTGTACATACGGATCAGGCGGAAGAATTGCCATGCAGGTATAGTAACTGCCCTGACGACTGTAGATCCCTTTAGACTGGTTCTTTTGCGTGCAATGTTCTCGGAACTGGTTGGGCGGCCCTGGTCGTCAAGCAGTACTCGTTGGATGACACTTGCTGATCTGTTCCTCAACGGATTAGAGGAAGAAGCTGTTGACTGATCGCCTGCTGCGTTCGATGGCGGTACGTCTCCGAGAGGGCTGCTTTGGCTCGCTCCGTTGACTTGCTCTGATGCCGAAGCGTTTCCATCACCCTTTCGCTCCGCAGCTCCTTCCCCCTCGACATGTATGTCCTTGGCCTTTTCTGCCTCGGAATCTTCTTCTGTAGCCTGTGCTTTCGGACTCTCTCCCTCACCAGTCGTTTCTTCACCGACATTGACTTCAACTTCCTGATTCTCCTCTTCGTCCTTCTCCAGTAGGGCATCTGCCGGGGGCTTCGCGGACGACATCTCGAGCGGAGATGAAGTCATGACTGCAGGGCTAGCGACGCTTTCTCCATCTCTCACGAGCTGGATCTGAACCGGAATCAATATCTTAGGCGACAAGCTAGGACTTGTGGCGTCTGCCTCTGCCTTCTTTGCTTCTTCGCTGTCTCTGAGCACGTCGACTTGGGTATTGAAGTACTCCTCTAGACAGTCTTCCAGCTTCACGCCGTTGCCATCAGGATCTGATGGCACTGCTAGATTTAACAATCGTTCGTAGACAATCTTGTGGTCGTCTTCGTCTTGTTTGCCTTGGTGGTACAGGTCGACCTGTAGTGAGAGTAGAGGCAATTCCAGCTTTTCCGTGAGGAAAGCAAATGCTTCCGAGGTATCTTGCTGTTCCAAAAGACGAGCATCGGACCAGCCGCATTCAGCCATTGTATCTTGGATTACTTTGGTCTAGGCAGACATGTTAGTGTATCTCCCCTGAAAGTAATTCACCTTGGACTTTCCATCACCCTAGGTACTTACCAAATCTGTATGTATCAGTTTGCCTGACCGCAGCATGTTGACCCAGATGCGCAGAAGTGTGACAAGCTTATTCCTCGGATCGTCCAACGGAAAGTCGTTCTTGAGCATGCACTCGAAAGCATCCAGCTTGGAGAACATGGCAAAAAGAAGGGCATCGATGTAACAAGTGACGGCGCTGCGGTTTTCTGCACCAACCATATGAACACTCGGGTCGTAGGGGATAATGACTCCAGACGAAGCCTTTTGCTCGATGTCGATGAACTGTACAGTGCGCTCTGGGTCCCCATTTGCGAACTTGGTCGCCAAGATATCTCGGATATGGTCGACGGTGACATCGGTAATGCCCAACCGATCCAGACTTCGTTGAATGTCCTCCACCTTTCCATTGTCAGTCTTCTGTCTGAAGTGTCTCGAGACGACTGTTCGTCAAGGCAGCGGAGATGATGGCGTCAACTCACCTTGGAGGCTTCTCTCGCAGCTTCCAGCTCGTTCATGTGAGTTTGTCTCGCATGATCGGGTTTGAAGATGGCGCGGAACGCTTCGGCTGAGAGGGGACGGGCCTGCCATTGCTGTTTAACATTGTGCAACCAAAGAGTGTCGGGCTTGGGAGTGGGAGCTTTGGATGGCTTGGGCGTCTTCAAGTAGTCGATTGCAAGCTCGATGAAAGACATTGCTCAAACAAAAAAGTTCTGGCTGGGAGGTTTCGTCGCGCATCGAGGGCATGGATAGGTAGGTAGGTAGGTTGGTAGGAATAGATTTACCTTGTTTGCGGGAGGAGCAGACTTGCTACGATGGTGCTCGCCGCTCTTGTCCCGTAGGCTAAGGAACTTCCTGGGGAATTCCTTCATGGCTGTCCGCTTTTCAAAAGAGGTTCAGCCCGATGACGAGGAGGAGGTTAGAGTGGTGGGAATCAAACTCTCGCGGCGCCGAGAGAGAGATGAGGCGGGTGGTACGCCCCCATTATAGGGCGAGACAAGTCTCGGCGAGGCGCTTACGGGGCTGGCCGTTCGGTGACGATGTTTCTTGGAGCTGCGAGTCGTTTCCTGCCCTGAAAGTAACCCTCCGTCTTCTTCTATGTTGGGCGCGACAGCTGCTTCGAGGTGGTATCGACTGATCGGTTGGACTCGCGGCGAAACGTCCAGCTCCGGGCGAAAGGCTGCGTCGCGGGGGCTGTAGGGCTGCTAGGTCGGCTTCAGCAAATGGGACAATCTAAGGCTAAGAGGCTTTTCGAGAAGCGGACGGATCTTCCCAGACGGGAGAGGGAGGACAAAGGTGGTTGCGTTGCGCAGTTACATTGACGTACTTGGTGCTGGTAAGGTTAAGGTAAGGTTCTCGAGGCTGGTTGTAGTTCCAAGTCCCAGGTGCACATCAGCCTCAGATAAGGCCTGGCGGAAGCGAGTGCTAAAGTTAGTGGTTCGCGTTGGCTGATGTTACAGTGGCGGGGGCGGGACACTGGGTGGATCCAGGCGAGCCAGGGACGCTGGTAGTGGGCTGTAGGGACCTCGAACGGCGCTACAGCGGTGCGATACTGCACTGAGGTGGCACCCTGCGGCAGCCCGCGATCCCTCGCCGTGGTACTGCGAGATTTATAGGTACATGTACCTTAGATCGCTCGACGATGCATGATCCGTTCTAATGTATCCATGTATTACAGGGCAGTCCTCACTTGGACTGGGATCACTCTTTGGATTGCAGCTGAGCGGGCATGGCGGCGTCCGCAAGTTGATCTCTTCCGCCTCCTCATCATGTCATGCGTTGCCGCCAATCATCCGGTACAACAGACGCCATTTTGATGAGCAAGCAGAAAGCATCCGAGCGCCGTCAACGTCTGGTGGCTGCCTTGATCAACTTGAAAATCACCGGCGGCGAGTCTGTGCGGCGCCGAAGCGGCCCTTTGCCAATTCTTGTGTTCTCGTGCCCTGTCAAACTGACTTTTGCCGAGAGACTCGTGGCTCGCCTACAGATGCCTACTATACGTAATTCTCCCACGACCGTCCAAGGCAGGCAATTTTGGTTCCCCAAAGTCCCCCAAAGGGTTTACGCAAGTCTAGCACGAATGCGGGCAAAAGTACGAGCACCTACGCGGCCTCATGTTTGGTTCCATGTCCACATTAACAGTCATGTTACCTGCCCAAAGACTCGGTATTTCTCTTAGCTGTGAACGAAGGAGCGGGGACTTGAGGTCATGGCGTACGAAGAGGAATCACAGGAGGACCATGTACCAGCAGCTAGGGCGAGACCTTGGACGACTTGGCTGATTACCTTAAGAGAAAGGTAAAGTTGTTTCTGTTCAAGTCACAAGCCACCTAAACAAACCTTGAGCTTTTGGGGAGGGGAAGGGGGGTGTGGCTGATTACATTGTAGAAACTTCGAGTTGTAATTTCTAACCCAGCGAAACTTCAAGACATGTGTCAGACTACAATGCCCTTTCATGGTTCAAGTAAAGGTACTTACCTAGGTAGACCCTGGAAAGATGTTCGAAAGTTTGCACAAGGACCCTGATCGTCCAATTCACGGGATCTTGCTGGAGGACGATATCATCATGCAAAACCGAAAAGCGTCTAAGAAGCGCCTGGACCTGCAGATGCTGAATGTCAGCAGATTTCATCTCTTATGGCGTGACTTGATGAATCCATCTCTTTGTCAAAAACAAGGAATATTGCACAGAATGTTCACGCGGCTGAGTAGGCTAGTCTCACGAGTTACCCAAAATAGCTTCCTGCTTGGATTAGATCATACGGATTGCATGCTACTTTGTACCGAATCCATATTTTGATGCGGACTATGACAGTAGCCTACCAGGCAGTAGTACTCCGTGCAGGAATCACTGATATTCCGGTGATGAGTTGATGGACGGCATGGACTTTCAGGTTGACGCTGACGGACAGAGAGTCACTGCACCGCCACATCTCTGCCGATAGGTACCTTATCTCACAAACGGCAGTCGGGTGGCGCAGCCTTGGTCGGGCTAGTCTGTGGCTAGTGCCCCGGCAGCTAGCGATTGGAAAAATCCCATTTGCCTCGAGATAGCGGATGGTGGGCAGTAAAAGGGAACTTCAACCTTGGACGAAGCATTGCGGCCTCAGCTCAAGCCCGAAGATGGCGGTCTCCCGAGAAGGTGCTCGCCTGGCACGAGCCTTGAGGCAAAAGATTCCTGCGCATCAATCTGTTCCGCTTTGCGCCAGAGGGTTTGCCTCTACTAGACCGGCGCACAATGCCACCGTGAAGGACGGTGGCATTGCCGACATCGAATCGACATCCTCTTTCACGGCGCCGCCGCCCGACGAGAACGTTGTCAAGGCTTTTGAGGAGGCACGCAGCCGGGATCATAAAGAGAGGAGGCTGCCTGGCAACCGGTATTGACTGCCGCCAAAGGTTCGAGTAGAAGAGCCATCGCTAACACGAATCCCAGATACCAATACCACCCTCCGAAGTACAATCGAGGCCCTCTGCATCCGATTCAGGCGCCGCCTTCATCCGATCCGACGGCTCGCGATTTCGTTCCTGGGCCGTTTAGCTTCCCTCGGTTGAAGCATACGTACGATAGCACCATTGCGCCAGACCTCATGACTCTCACATACAAACACATCCCTCCCGGAACTACACCACCCGAATCGCAAAAGGGACTGCTGCGCCAATGGGACGGATCCTCACCATACCACAAGAACCGACCCAGCAGAGGGCCCAGAGGCGGAGGCTCCTCAAGACTTGGGATAATAGAGCGGGACATCACTTGGAACAACATTCCCGAGATCGAGGCCGTCACTATCAACTCATACGCTCCCCTCGCAGCCGACAACAAGGAGTACCTCCACGTCGCCCGAGCCGTGGTCCAAGCCATCAGCGGCCAGTTTCCCGAGGTGACGACTGTGAAGCACAACGTCATCCACTGGGGTGTCCGCAAGGGATCCAAGGCCGGTGCCAAGACGACTCTGCGCGGCGGTGCGGCCTATGACTTTGTCGACAAGCTGGTGACCTTGGTCTTGCCCAAGATCAAGGACTGGCCGGGCATCAAGGCTACCAGCGGCGACAGCGCCGGCAATATTGCATTCGGCATGCAGCCCGCCTGGATGGCTTACTTTCCCGAGATTGAGTTCAACTACGATGTGAGTATAGGGCAGTCGGAATGGTCCCCTTGTGAGCGTAAGCTAACCCTTGGTGATAGATGTATCCTCCCAAACTGATGCCCGGTTGCGACATCTTCATTCACACCTCTGCGACATCGGATAGACAAGGCAGGCTGCTGATGGAAGCATTGGGATTCCCATTCTATGGCAAGGTCACGCATTGATGAACATGATGTCGGTGTCATGCCTTGGGAAATATTTGGGGGAGGAAAACCGAACAAAGAAAAATAAAGTGTACAACAAGTGTATTGTGTATCAATATACAAAAAGACCATGACCGTTAGATACTATGTATGTATGGTATGATAGCTCCACATGCGAGACCGTATCGGTTGATTCATCCAAGCCTGCCAAACGCCCAAACTCCAGCCCATGAATGTCCCTTTTCCGTATCGTATCCATGTAGTTTGTCTTGGATTGCTAGTAAGCTTTATGATGAAGTCGCAGGAGCCGTATTCTTGACATGGTCTCTGAGGCCGTGAATAACGGTGTCAACGGCATCCATATCGGCAGCGTCGACTTTGGACGCAGTAGCAAATCCCCGCTTGTTCAGCTCGTCCGTGCAGGTATCCATGGAAGGCTGGTAATTCCTGACGGCCGAGCTCAGCGCATAAATGGCCTTGCGCCGAACGTCCTCGGGCTCCTCCTGCTTGAGCGCCATCTCGACCAGCGAGGGCAGCCCGCCCATGGCCAGCAGGCGCTCCTGCGTGCGGGCGTTGTTCTGGACGGCCGTGCCGACGCACCAGGCGGCCATCTTGCGCATCTCGCTCTCCTCGTGGCGCAGCTGGTCGAGCAGCGGGGTCCAGAGGTCGAGGTTGGCGATGTTGTTGGCGTTGTCGAGGTTCTCGATGAGCTGCTCGAAGTTGTCAAAGGCGATGAGCTTGTTCTCCAGGCTGACCTCGGGGTCGTTGATGATCTCCATGGCCGCCTTCATCAGCTCGGCGTCGGAGGGGCCGCCCATGAGGGCCGCCATGATCTCCGGGGTCAGGTTGGTCGTGGGTGGCGGCCGGGATTCGTTGGTGGGCTGGTTTACAGGCGAGTCGGCCTCCATGTGTTCGATGCTCCATCGCAGGAGGTCGTTGAGTCGTTTGTCACCCATGATGGTTGTGTTATTTGTATTGTAGATCTTCGTTTTTAGCGAGAATGAATGTAATTACTTTTCGCAAGGAGGATATTGAAGAAATTCGACAGACAGGGAGCAGTCTCTTTTTGTTGCTTTTCGATACTGGAGCTCTTCAGTAATCCTCAGATTTTCGCCGGTGGTGATGCAAGTTCTGGAAACTTCAAGAAGGCCCTAGGCCGCAAGAGGAGTAGCGGGGAGTGAATGCTGGCAAGGTTCAATTGCTTTTTGCAGCCTTAGCCTTACAAGGAGCTTTGTCCAGGGCCGAAGCCAGAGCTTGAGCATCAGCTTCACCAAGTAATTAAACTTTCTGCGAGGCAAATCTCCGGGGATTGGGAGCGGGAAATGAGGCTTTCAAGTATCGGGGGACTTCCTTCAGTCTTCCAGAAGCAAGGCCGATACTCCATATCACAGCTGGCCTCTATCCCTGAGGTACTGGAGGCTCAAGAAGCTACCCCACTTGTTCATCTCACAGTCCTGGGTGGTGGTGGTAGTAGTAGTCTTTTTTTGGTTTTGTTCTCCGTGCTTTGTTTGATCCGATGTTCACAAGTGATGCTTGGAGCTGATGCTATCGTTGGAACGCAGCTGGCCCGACTGATTCACGGCGAATCTGTCTGATATGCCATGGGACTCTACAACAGTACCTATCCAGCTCCTCAACTCTGCCGATTGTACATAGGAGATGGATTCTGACAAATGACGTAGTGCCAACCCTTATTTCGGCTTCACATGGCAGGCAGAAGAATGAACAACGAGTGCCCGGACTTGAGAATCTGTAATCTCACAGAGTATAGAGCCAAGTGTATTGCTGCGTATCTTCGCTTGATTACACGCATTACGGAAGATGCTAAGCTTACATGGTGAACTACGCATCGCTCAGCAGCTAAGACAATCTCAGCGCCGCCGCAGCCTTGCCTCGCCCACAGAGCACTGCTTCCTAGTTTCTTCGCACCAGACATACGAGGATGCAGCATTGCCGCGTCGTGCAGCTCTAGATCTCCCGAAAGACCTTTGATCCCGCCCTGCATCCAAGGAGCCATTGCATGCCTCCGTGAAGCTAAAACGACCGTCACTGTCTGATACCCTACGAGGTGTAAAGCCACACAGTGATGACTTATCCACAATGCTCACGTGACCCTCGGAAGGACGATACGAGGCTCGCCTTGTCGCCGTCCCTGCCAGAAAGCTCGCCGGATCGCTTAGGGCGGCACTGGCGCTAGCCGAGTTGGGCGCGGCCTGAGGTTGTCGTGTCCCCCCTCCTCCGCTTCCTGCACAGCGACGTGTTGGCGTGGCCAAAAACTGAGCTTGGCTGGGGAAATTTGAATGGACGAAAAAGGGGCTAGAGACCGTCACCAGCTGCTTGGGCCGGTTGCTGCTTACTGGGACCGACTTTGCGCGCCGGCACGACTGGATCGATTACGCAGTCGAGCGGCTTTAATCTGGGGATTTGGAATGCAAGATGCCTACAGCAAGATCCGAATACTGCTGCCTCTCGGGGGTGTAACTTGACGCTCGTGAACAGAAAGAGACTCGGATAGATTGAGATAATCTCTCTGCCTAACGTACCTACAGTAAGATGAATCAAAGCTGGTGTCCGTCTCATAACGAGACCCCGTTAGCTGTACCCCGTAATGTACTGAGCACGGGGTACACGAGAAATTGAGAGCTTTCAGGAGAGGCCGTCGAGAACAACATCATAGTGCCCCTCGACCTGCTGCCAACAGAGAGGTTCCATATGTTGCCTCCTGGCAGCGATCCCAATGGACGGCAATCAGCAGCTGGGCCATATGGAAGTCCACAATCTCTCGGACATGTACTCCGTACCTACACACAGAACATCAGCCACACATCCGACCCCCTTTTTCTCGGGCTGTCATCAACCGCAAGAAGGAAGGGGGGGTCCGTCAACTCGGGAGAGCCTCACAAAAGTGCCCCTCTCGGAGCACCAATTCTCATTCATTCCCGGTCCGCAATACTGTGCTCTGCGATGTTTCCAAGGCAGCCTGGCATTCAATTCATGCTCCTTCGGGTTACCTTGTCTCACGGTGGTAGACCTCGAGACAAGGCATCAACTTTTGGCCCTCTGAGCCTCAGCCTTGGTGGCTTGCGTATTACGCACCCGGACGCGTACGAAGCTCATCCGCCGCCATCTGGAGACAGGAGTAAGAAGGGATCTTATCTCGCTGCCTCGACTAGCTCGACTCAGTATCATCAGTGCGCACACAACGTCAGTTCTGCTGGCTAGAAGCGATCAGGCGGCCTTTATCCTCCCCAGCTTACTTAGTAGTTGCTTGTGCCTGTAATAAGCACCAACTGGCGGTGGATGAGCTTATGTACAGGCAATGGAGCAAGTCGCAGCTCCCGACGACAGCTGGGGGCAAAGGTGACGATGGCGTCTGGTTGATCTGGCGGTGCAGCCCCTCTCCTCCCCACTGGCCGATTCCTTGATACCTTACTGTAGCGACCTAAGGAGACCTAAAAGGAGACCTAAAGGAGGTCGATATGGAGAACATTGGAAGTCGTGAGGAATACTCGCACGCGGTAGAGGCTACCTCGCCAGCGCCTCGTCTCCTGGTGCCTCTCCGTGTACCTGTACTCGTGCTGGTGCTTGCTTGCTCAGGTAGCCCCAGCCACAGCCACCGCCATGAGCCAATCACTTAAAGCGGCAGGCAGCGCTGCCATCCCCTGCTGCGCGGCCGTGCCCGGTACTCCGAGGCCCAGGCAAGGTTCCTCGCACAGGCAGCGCTGCGGCGGCGGTACCTCGAGCCGGGCTGGCAGTACCGCACAGTACCTCGAGCGAAAGCACCCCCCAATCAACCAAGGCGGTCTCGCCCTGGTTCGCCGCCTCCCACACACCAGCAGGCTGCTCCACCAGGCAATTGTCCCGCCCACAACTGTGTGCCCATCGTGGCAGCGGAGTTACTTACTTCCCTCCTTTCCTCCCCCTCCACTCTTTCTACTTCTTCAACAGCACCCACCCCCCAATCGCCAGCTTTCGACTGCGTGTCACCTTAATATTTCCTCAACTTCAACCTCTTTTTCTCCCTCCCCTTCCAGCCAAACCCTCGAGATCCTGGGATCGCGCGAGTTTCTTTTCTGTCTCTCTTCAAGTCTTTCATCAGCTTCATACATTAATCAGTCACAATGGAGGGTACGTGCCACCTGCCGCCGCCTCGAAAGCGCCGCGTTCAACCCCTTGGTGCCGAGGCCATTGGGAGCGAGGCATCACGAAGATGCCTTTGGCTGATGACAGGACTTGGCTGACATGTGCTCTTGATGCTCTACAGAAGAAGTTGCTGCCCTCGTCATCGACAATGGGTAAGGTTTCCCGTCTCCCCCGCCATTGTCTCACCGACATGATACCTCTCCTCTCTGTCGACCTTTGGCTCTGCGGGCAAGGAGGCATCGCCCGGTGCCGCCACGCCACGGCGGGATCAAAGGGACACATTTGCATCCTCAACTCCATCACGCCGCGCTCCTTTTATATCTCTTGAACCTCGATAGCTGACACCAGTGCAGCTCTGGTATGTGCAAGGCCGGTTTCGCCGGTGATGACGCTCCCCGAGCTGTTTTCCGTGAGTACCCCACTTCTGCTCCCCTTAACCACACCATAGCTATACGCTTTGGGTGCATTGGGCGTTTTCGCGCCGCCACCGCACGTTGTGCTCTCAGTGACGATTTTTGCTAACGACGCCATCAGCCTCCATTGTCGGCAGACCCCGTCACCATGGGTAAGTTTCACTGAATCCAGAAAGCTCGCGTGTCGGCCATGCCATTTTCGGCCGCACTCTGGGGAAAGCTGGATCTGACCAAATCGCCATAGTATCATGATCGGTATGGGTCAGAAGGACTCTTATGTCGGTGATGAGGCTCAGTCCAAGCGTGGTATCCTGACGCTGAGATACCCCATTGAGCACGGTGTTGTCACCAACTGGGACGACATGGAGAAGATCTGGCACCACACCTTCTACAATGAGCTGCGTGTTGCCCCCGAGGAGCACCCCGTCCTGCTCACCGAGGCCCCCATCAACCCCAAGTCCAACCGTGAGAAGATGACCCAGATCGTCTTCGAGACATTCAACGCCCCCGCCTTCTATGTCTCCATCCAGGCCGTTTTGTCCCTGTACGCTTCCGGTCGTACCACCGGTATCGTGCTCGACTCCGGTGACGGTGTTACCCACGTTGTCCCCATCTACGAGGGTTTCGCTCTCCCTCACGCCATTGCTCGTGTTGACATGGCTGGTCGTGATCTTACCGACTACCTGATGAAGATCCTGGCTGAGCGTGGTTACACCTTCTCCACCACCGCCGAACGAGAAATCGTCCGTGACATCAAGGAGAAGCTCTGCTACGTCGCCCTCGACTTCGAGCAGGAGATCCAGACCGCCGCCCAGAGCTCCAGCTTGGAGAAGTCCTACGAGCTTCCCGACGGCCAGGTCATCACCATTGGCAACGAGCGATTCCGTGCTCCTGAGGCTTTGTTCCAGCCTTCTGTCCTCGGTCTCGAGAGCGGTGGTATTCACGTCACCACTTTCAACTCCATCATGAAGTGCGACGTCGACGTCCGAAAGGACCTCTACGGCAACATTGTCATGGTATGTTCCATTTGTCTACAACACCGTTTGTTCCGAACCGTGATGCTAATTGCATTCTCCCATCTAGTCTGGTGGTACCACCATGTACCCCGGTCTCTCCGACCGTATGCAGAAGGAGATCACTGCTCTTGCTCCTTCTACCATGAAGGTCAAGATCATTGCTCCTCCCGAGCGAAAGTACTCTGTCTGGATCGGTGGTTCCATTCTGGCCTCCCTGTCCACCTTCCAGCAGATGTGGATCTCCAAGCAGGAGTACGACGAGAGCGGTCCCTCCATTGTCCACCGCAAGTGCTTCTAAGGTGAGATTGCAAAACACAACGACTCAAAAAGCGAGACAAGCAGCTAACCAGGTGTTGTTTAGAAGCTACGCGAGGTCAAAGACAAAACCTTACATCCTTCGCCAATCACTCATGCCAGGCTCATGGAGGCGGCGAATCACGCAGTGCCTTCGTGGCTTGGCACGTATTGCGATCGAGTCTCATATTTACGAAAAGTTTTTGACAGGGTCAAGGGGGTGGGCGTTGGCTTTTCTCCGATGGGGATACAACGGCTCGTGTATGGCAGCTGGGCTGGATGCGCAACGCGAGTCTAGGGGCTAGAAGCTTAGGTTGATACAAATATTTATTCGCTTTCCGGTCTTAGACATGTTAAATGGAACGTTGTGACAATGTTTTGCTGCCCAAGACCATTGTAGAAGATTGATTACATGCACCGTATCACCTCGTAGAGACGCATCTGAGTACGCGGCAAGGCGAGGTATCAATTGTCTTTATACGACCCGATATCAAGGCTTGTGCGACGATTGATTTTACGAGGATCCACGGGACCCGTGTCTGGGCTGGTTATTGTCGCCAGACGCCGTCTCGCTGGGATGGCTACCCGTGCCTTGTCTTGTGCCGCTACTCGGTTCGGAGGTGTCTCTCGTGCTATTCTCCGCGGTGGGGGGTTCGGCTTCGGTTTCTGATGCTTCGGCTTCTGCTTCCCTCGCTTCCGCCTCCGCACCGGCCGCCGCCGCCGCCGCCCTCTCCTCTTCTAGCAGCCTGTACTTTCGGCGGCTCTTCTTTGCTGCGCTGTCTGCCCTCTTCTTCTTGACGGACCCGACGATGGCGGAGCGGCTTTGGTCGCCATTTGTGAGCTCGTCGATGCGCTGGGCGAGGATCTCGCGGGCGAGCTTGCGGTTCTGGCTGCGGGATCGGGTGGCCTGGGACTTGACGACGATGCCGGTTGGGATGTGCTTTAGCTGGACGGCGGAGTTTGTTTTATTCTGAGGCCCTCGTGCGACGATTGTTATTTAGAACCAAAGGAAGGAGAGAGAAAAGATAGATTTTCTTTTGGTCTCGGGGGGGTTTTCAGGGAAGAAGACTTGTAAAAACGTACAATCTTTTGGCCGCCGGGGCCGCTGCCTTTGAGGTAGGATTCTTCGATTTCCGAGTCGGGTGGGGGTTTTGGACGGGGTGGGAGGTTCTTTTGGAGGAGGGCGGAGGTTGTGCTGAAGAAGGAGGGGTTTGGTATTATGCTTTTGGTAGATTGTACGAGGGTTTGGAACATAGAAGGTGTCAGGAGAGGGTATGCGAGGCGGGACATGATCGGTTGGACAGTGAGGCGATTCGATATTTCGTTGTATGAGGTTGTCGTGATGCGTAGGTTGCTTCTGAGCAGAGCTCATGGGAGTGGTCGGGCAAGACTGGCCGAGGCTTGATACTAACTACGGTTTAGTGACTCTGGCGCGCTGGCGTGGCGTGGCGTGGTGCTGTGCGACCGCTGTAATCGGGCGCTGTAAACGTCCAACCAGGGGGACCTTGAGAGTTCCGAGTTCCGTTGGGTAGTAGCGACTCCTGTCGGCTTCAATTGGGTCGAATTCAATTGGCCTCCCGCTATTCTTCCTTTTCATCCCTCAAAACTCCACGGAAGCCGAGCCGAAAACATTGTCGCCTCACTCTACGAATAACGACGCTCTCTCTCCCCTCACGACCTGGGAAACGAAGCGACGAGCTAGACGATACTCGCCATCGATCACATCTGCAATTTGCCGTTGCGACAAAGACGAGGCTCAAAGAGAGGCAACGACACTGCCTGTCAGAAAGAAGACCGAAGATTGGCAAAATGGCGTCTCGGAGTATAAAAGACATGGTGGACAGGAAGATGCTGCAGATTGACGTGACCTTTGGCACGTATTTGTTCTCTCCAATTGAGAAGTTCGCGTATTGTATGTTCATCCTCCCTTCGTTGCCTCCCCCAATTCTCGATACTCTCTTTTCTCCTTTTGTCTCGTCGTTTGCATTCGTGGCTCGGGGGGTTTCGGCCCCCTTTCACGATCCCCTTTCCGAACCCTTCCGCTGGCGCCAAATGCTGGTCCGGAAAAAGCATTGAAAGCGTTTTCTTGTTTGCTAATATGATGGGTTTATTTCTAGACTCGATTGCCTTTTTGCTCTTCGGCTTGACCTCCATCGCCATCATCCTCTACCTGCCGCACCACATTTCGATTCTCGCCGGCCGAGCGTGGTACTACATCAACGGCGAGACGATCGACGTCGCTGCGTCCGCGAGGGACGTCTTTGGCGGTGCGCTGGGGAACGGGAAGAACGCCGCGGCGGCTGTCAGGGAGCTGTGAGGTGAGGAGCCGTGGGGTGTCGAACAAAACGAACAAAGGAAAGAAAGAAAAAGAACAAGAAGATAAACGGGCTGCATATATGAAGTTATGGATACGAATATTGGGGGGGAGAGAGGGTTTGACCGCTGGCGATGCTGCGAAGACTGAGCGTTTAATGAGATGTAAAACAGGCGACAGGGAGGAGCTCTCGCGGATTGGACCTGTATAATCTTGTGGCTTTTTGTTGATTCTTTCTTCTTGGGCGTTGGGTAATATTCATTTTCGAGGAAGCTTGATGGAAGAGCAGGCACAATGATGGTACATCATACTACTACTACTACTACTACTACTACAATTACACCTACTATACAATAATAGAACGAATATCAAGAATGAATTTGTAGCCAGATGAGCAACGTGATGTTTTAGTTGGTCTCGTTCGACCACGATTTGGATGAGTTGTCGATTTCTTATGGCACCATCCACGGCCGGTTCTACCCCCTGAGATTTTCTTCCCCAAAGCCATACAGTCTCAATGAGCTATCCTCTCCTGCGACGGCTAGCTCATACTTGTTTTCGTCATTGTCCTTGTTCACCGGGCGCCATGCCAGTTGAAGCACCGTCTTGGGAAGAAACAGCCTATGCGTGTTCGTTCGTTAGCCTTGTGAACAACGCGAACAAGCAAAGAAAGAAAAATAAAAGCCCCGGGTCATGAACAAGACAAAAAGGGGGGAAACTCACTCAGGATGCATCGGCAGCTCCGACACGGATGACCGGTCTCTGGACACAGCACACAGGCTCAGTCGGCCGCTCTCAGTGCCGACTGCGAGGATGTACTTGTCGCCTACAGGCTGAGCGAGGAAGTCTACAGACGTGACGGGGCCATCGGAAGCCAGGGCGGATACCTGCACGAACTGAGGGGCCTTTGCGTCCTCGCCGCCGCCGTCTTCTTTCTTGGACGGGGACCAGATCCTGACTTGCTTATCGCGGCCTGCCGTAGCGAAGAGGGGCTCTGAGGAAGAAGGAGCCCAGGCGGCGTCGAGGATCATCCTGGAATGGCCCTTGGCGTTGGACCGCAGCAGCTCGTATCGGACGGCTCCGTCCCCGTCGACGCCTCGCTCGAAAACGGCCCACTGGCGATCACGGCCGACGCTCAGCAGATACCTGTCGTCGGAGGAGAAGCGCAGGCGGGTGGCCGTCAGAGAGTGCGCCGCCAGGGGGGGCCTGAGCTCGGTCCACTTGTCCGTCTCGAAGATGCGGATGACGGCGTGGTTGACGGAGCTGGCCTTGCAGGCGCTGGCGATGAGCTTGCCGTCGTGGCTGGTGGCGAGACAGGAGATTTCGTAGCCGTGGCCGTAGAGCTTCTCCGTTTCGGGCCAGAGAGTGTGTCGGGACAGCGTCTCCTCGAAGGGCGGGTGGTCAATGTCGAGATACGACTTCTTGACGATGGAGGCTGGGTCCATGGCGTCTCGATCGCGGTCATCTATGGGCTGGATCTCCTGGTCGTCGTCCAGGGCGTCGATGGCCTTATTCGAGAGACCGAGAACCGGCATGTTGGCGGCGTCGGGCATGTCAGCAAGGTTGGCTTCCTCGATGCCTCCCAGGCGGCTGAGCATGGCGGCCACAGCCTTGGGCTCGCTGAAGACCCTCATGAGCTTCTCGTCGGCGCCAGACACGAACTGAGAGGAGCCGAGTGAGTCGATGCAGTTGAGGTCGTAGCCGTGGATCTGAGGGCGGGACATCTCGTGCCATGTGCCGGTGCTCTTCCACTTCATGTGAAGCCGAGTCGTCTGATCCGAGCTCGTAGAGAGCAGGAAGCTGCCGTCTTTGGACCAGGAGATGCCGGTGACTGCTTTTGTGTGGCCAGAGATGGCAACGCAGGGCCTCCAGATATCCTCTGAGGCGTCGTACTCCCACCTTCTCCAGCTGCCGGTCCGACCGAGGCAGGCCACCGACCTTCCATCAGGAGACCAGAGACCAGTCCAGAAGCCGCCTGTGCTCCCCGTCGCCGTTGTTGCGCCTTTTTCCCTGCTAATCTCGCCGAGCCTCACCATGCTGACCCAGATCCCGGAGCTGGGGTCGGCTTCCCAGATGGCCAACGAGTTGTCAGCAGAAGCAGACAGAAGCTGCAGCTTGCCACCGGCCTGTGAGTGCCACTTTGCGCTGTAAATCCAGTCCTCGTGGCCCAGCAGCAAGGCCTCAAAGGTTACGGAATAGTCCTTTCCAGAAGCCTTGAGCCAGTGCGCCTTGTTGGAAGGAGACTTGCCCGGCATGAAGGCGCCGCTCGACGGGTCTGAGCCTTCGGCCGCCAGGGCGGGGAGTTCTTTGCCCTGGTGAACCCTCCAGATCCTGATGTACTTGTCCTGGCTGGCGGACGCAAGAAGCAGATCGCTATCCGGGCTGTTGGTCTCTTTGGCGAAGCTGAGGGATCTCAGCCAGCCTTCGTGGCCGCTGAGGGTTGCTTGGAGGTTGAACTGAAGGGTGGTGCCTTGCCTCGCCTCGGCGGTCAGGATCTGAACGACGTCCCTTGTGCCGGCCGAGGCGAGGATATAAGCGTCGTTGTCGGCGCCGAGAGTGCTGAGGGAAAGGGACAGAGGGAAGTATTTCGGCGCCGTGTTTATGGTTTGAAGTAACTGCAGCTGATCATTGTCGAAGCTCCAGATCCTGATGGTTGCATCAGCAGCTCCCGTGGCAACGATCCATTTGGGCTGGTCAGCAGCAACTCGCAAGGCGGCAACGCAGTTCACGGGTCCAGTGTGCTCGGATGCGGTCTGAAGCAAGTTGAAGTCTTGCTTGTCGTCGGTTGACTTCCATACGGCTATGGTCTTGTCATCCGAGCCACTGATGAAGTACGTCGAGGGGTCATTCTCAAGCTCTGGGAGGAAGGACACGGCCTTGACGGTTTCCTTGTGTCCGTTCAGGAGCCTGTATACGCCTCTAGGGGGGTTTGCCTAGAGCAGAGAGTAACATTAGACACGGTGCTTCACGGACATATGAAGAGATTAGGTACATATGATCGTTGTATGTGTATATATAAGGTATGTTATATATGAAGCCATGAAGATGACAAAAAACTCGATAGGACTCACAGCTGGACGCCACAGAGCGATATTGCAGTCCGTTCCATAAGCCAGCAGCCCCGTCCGGTTCCAGTCCGCAACCGCCGTCTGTCTATTTGCACCGGCGGCGAGATGCTCTACCGTCACGCCGTCTGAGCTCATGTCACGAAGATGTCTCTGCCGGTTCCCTTGTGAAGACTGATCTTGATGATGATACTGGGCTTCATGAAGAGACGAGAGGGATTCACGTGACGAGGTTGTGTGTGTGTGACATGCAAGCTTGTGAGCAGACTTTTTTTTCTCTGGTAGCGGCTTTTGGCGCTTGGGCGGTACTGGAGGTATTACAGCAAAGGCTGAGAGTCAATGTACCTGAAGTATCTAGCAATAGCTTCACGAAATCGTTCTGAAAGTATAACAATAAAGTATTCTCTTGATGTGAAGTGTTTGCTTCCTATCATTAATGGATACTTAGCAAAGATCTCATGCGCACAGAGGCACGGATGCAATGGATGGCAAGAGTCCAGAGACATTAGCAGTGGAGGTACTTTGTAGATTCGCCTTACTGTGATACAGCGCTTAACTCGCTACAATTACAGGAGGGCCCGCGATAAGCCGCGCCTATCATCGGCCTGCCGCCATTATCAGACTCAACCCGCCAAGGCCATCCATCGCCAAGTTCCGCAACCACCACCAGCCTCTCGATCTCCGTCAACCATCGCCGTCCGCTCGATCGCGCCCCATCGCCATGGCCGCAGCCGCTGCAGACGACGCCGGGCATCTGACCCTGGACGTGGAGTTTTCGTAAGCATCCCTCACGCCCCCTTTCTGTCTGCGTTCAAGCACCTCCTGTCACATCTCTCTTTTTCCATCCCTTCAGCTGGAGCTGAGCGTTCACGCCGCCATCGTCGATGCTGCTGCTAGCCAAGCGGAATTCCTCCTCCGTCCATTTCCCCATCCCGCTATTTGCTATTCGTTCAGAAAACGAAGAATGAGTCAGGAGGTGGCTAACTAGATGCCAATGGCTCTGTTCACAGCGGAGGCCTGGAGATGCTCTTCTCGGACCAACGCCGCCACTCCCTCGACCTACCTGCCAAGGATCAGGATGGCAAGCCTTCCACCATTGCGTTTTTGATACAGTATCTCTGCGAGCATGTCATGAAGGACACCCGCAAGGAACTCTTTGTGCTGGAAGACCATCTGTATGTATCATACCCATCCCTCCCCTAGCCCTCTCATCTGTCAGACATACAACTGCTGGCCAAGTATGAGAAGTTCTCAACTTGGAATTATTTGGCACCGTGGGGATGGTATCGTGTGTATCAATCAACCCTAGTCTACCATATAGCCTCGATGGAAGGGACCAACCGCGGCGCGGCCCTTCTTGATCCGCTCAACTATTCCCATCCATTGCATCGCAACTAGTGTGCGGACCGATGCTGACTCCAACAGACGGCCAGGTATCCTAGTCCTAATCAACGACGCCGACTGGGAGCTGGAGGGAGAAGAGGAATATGAGCTGAAGAGCGGCGACAATATCCTCTTTGTATCGACCCTGCACGGCGGCTAAGAACCTTTCAACATGCATGGGGGTCCTGACTCGCTCATGCAAGATGTGTGTTTCCCATTTCCCTTGTTAGAGCATCGCCGCATCTGAGGGCAGCAATGTTATTCCCTGCGGGATATCCGTGGCGGCTGGAGGTCGACTCTGCATCGTGACGATGGCCGACTTAGAGAAAGCACCGCGTGGGCAGCTCATCAGCGCCGCTGCCAAGATTCGCATGAATCGTATCCAGATCCGACTTTCTCCTGCAGCCCAGCTGCGGCCACCGACACGCAAACGCGAGGGGTGCAGATCAATCAGAGGTTCCATGGGAGATGAGAAACCCCGGTGTCGAGCATCGCCAGTCTCTCGCTTGACTGACGCCCCCCCGTTGATGCCCAATCTCGCGCATAATTCTCAGTCCAGTCCGAGGATGCTAGCGTTGTTGTCTCGCCGCGGCCTCGGGAAGCTGCCCAGATTCATCAACCAGTGCATAGGATAGCTTCAACAACAAATCCGCAACTATACACCCACGCCGTCTCACCTGCCCCGTTGTCTCTCATGATCCTGACCGATGCTCATCTTTCGAAGTGCTTCTTGACGTGGCTCTGGCGGTGAGCTATGCATACAGTCGTCATTGATGGCCTCTGGCTTGATGCTTGATGATGTTATTCACAGTCGTTTGCTACGTTTCATTCGATGCAGCTCTATCTGCCGACAACTGTCAGATGAAATCTATATGGGCCAACATTGAGCGGTGAAACCGAGAAGCCGGAGTGTGCGAAGCAATCGGCGCCATGCATTCAGGGCATTATGAGCTGACACTCGGCTGCGACGAATGCCTGCACTGGTTTTCTGACGTGTAATATTCTCCCCATGGGCGTCCTTCATCTTCGGCGATGTCGAGCTCGTGCATCAACACCAGGTCTCCGAATCGTCCCCGTCCTCGTATACGAGCCATTCACTTGGGATCCCTACGGCCAACTCCACTCGACAATATGACTTTCTCTCCGTTTAGTCTGTTCCTTTCAGGATGTTGGGCCATTTTCGCCATTGATCCATATCGACCCATGGAGGCCAATGGATCTTTGGGGGCCAAACGAGTATGGAGTACTACCACTAGCAAGCGCAATCCGAGGGAAGTCGTCCATCCAGCAGCCAGCAAACGCATCAAGGTGTGGTCGTTTTACAGCCATGTTCCCTGTCCTATTCACACGTGCACACACAATGGCATCCCTCGCTTTGTTCACAGACAAGTCTCATTGCCTCCTCCAGACCTGGCTGCCCCGGACCGGACCCGGACCCCCACCGTCCGCCGCTTTCCTCTTATCTGTTTACCCTCTTGTTCTCTACGAGGTCCACGCATCATACCGAGCGTCTGATCCAGGGTGGCTCCTTGTCTGGGTGTGGTGACACACTCTCGGTATTAAGACTGGAGAGCGATTCGCCCTATCGATCCATCCCACCAATATCCCACCATTTGGGTAGCATTCCCCTCCTGCTTCCCACCCTTGCTGTTTGCGTTATTGCTACCACCATTCTATCACAAAACAATTCCAACTAGGTGCAAGCCTTGGATCCTTTTGTCCCAAGTTTCCAATCCCTACACCCCTCCCCAGCCAGATGCAGCGAATGAGACCAGTCTTGCGTCTGGTATCTCTCGTCCATCTCCAACAAGAACCTCAGCCGCTCAAGGGTTCCCTAGCACATAACCACCCTCCCTTTCCCCGTGTTTGCGCCCGCACCCAGCAGCAGGGGGGGGTTTGCTTCGCGGATTGTTTCCTTGAGTTGCCGCGGCAGGCCTTCAGGCCTTTAGCTGCGTTTCTAGTTTTTAATCTTCCTAACCGGCTACTAGTACAACGAATGCTTCCTAGCTTGTTGCGGCTGAGATCAAAGTGTGCCGGCCATGTTTCTTTTTAAGAATCTGACTGGGGAGCTGGATCCGGGTTGCTGGGACTTACAATAGACACCAACTTGTCCCGCTTATTTTGAGCCCTCCACGCCAAGAACGAGCCAATACCATCTGGTGGTGATGGTGATGATCCTCTGTGGCTTTTGCATCTCCCTGCGTCCCCAGGGAGACGAGGTTTGTCAGTTACTTACGTTCGTCTTATCGGGAGCTGTACCTACCTCGACATGGTTCTTCAACACCAATGATCTGTCTCTCTCTATATGCAGCAAACTTTGACCCCAGAAAATTCCCAAGGAACCACGGCAGGGCAATACATACAAGCTGATACTGCCCCCCTCTTCCCCTCCCATTATCCCGCCGGACATCACCCAATCGCCAAGCACACAATCAGAAATGCAAGGGCCAGCCGCAACACAAAAAAAAAGCAATTAAAAAAAAAAAAGAAAGGCTTGTTTCTCCAGCAGTTCCAAGATAGAACCCTCGCATATTACAGATCAACTCTTTCTGCATTGCCCTGAAAGTGATCATGCAACCCCAAACTACCACATACGACCCTTCAACACACAGCTACCTTATTCACTCATGTACGGAATTCTTAGACAAGGATGGGCGTGTCGTCTCATTTTGGCAATTGAAAACTAGGAACGACCGGGAGAGCTACCGCGTGACATGCCACGCCCCTCTCCCCAGCTCTGGAGATACAAGCGCTGCGATGCCATTCGCTCAGCCCGGCGTTGCCAAGTTATCCCTGACCATGTCGGAGCAGCAAGGGAAAGCCATCATCACAAACAAGACGAGGAAGTGGTAAAGTAGAGTAAAGCAAGGAGATGCCTTGTCTTCTATTCTCCAAGAACAAGAGCAAGATAAGGGACTCACCCCTGATGCCCGACACTTTCCGCCCTTTCTATGTAAACATTCTGCTTGTGATAACACATTCAAATCATACCAAGTACTACCAAGAACAAACAAGCCACCCATAATACACGCCAGTAACAAGTAAACATAACAGACTGAAGACAAGACAGACAACCACACCCAGATATTGTAGCAGATACCCAAACAATTGAAACAGGATAATCAATAGTACCACCTTGGAAGCGACAAACAGAAAACAGTGCTCCTTCCCACAACGGCAATGCGTCAAAATAATGACACCTGCCTACAACAAACCAAGTTCAAAGTACCTCGCCCAGTCCTTGATGAGCGATGCGCCGAGTTCGCTTCGAGCTCGATCGCAGCAGATGAATAAATCAGAATAAACCAGCCAATCAACATATGTCGTGTGCTTCTTTCTCCTTTTCTTCTTCCGTCGGCAGAGCCTTGTTATAATTCTTTCGAAATCTTCAGTTGCAATCTTTCTTTCTGTGTCCCGTGTATGAATGTTGTATTTGAGCGTCCGATCGTTGAAGTCGTAATTTTCTTGACAATTGCAGCTTGTATGCGTCGTAACAGCCGCGGAGATGTCAAGCGGTCAATAGCCCTCAGGATAGGTGGCTAGTGATCCCCATCTGGAAAACACCATCCCGTACATGGCCCGAGGCAAACGCGGGTCCGTAAAGGCCGTAAGCCGGGTTTGGGTTGCGCAGGACATTGCTCAAGGTGTTGGCAGCTCCCTGGGTCATGGCATACGGTGAGATTCTGTCGTGAGGATTCTGAGCTTGCATTGCCATCTGGGGCAAATGAGTGGTACCCGGGGTCCTGAGTAACGCAGGCACCGGGGAGGCAGCCTGTCGAAAGGCAGAATCTTGAGGCCCACGAGCTGCCACGGCGCGAGTCTTTCCTCGGCCCTTGACTCCCTTGTTGCTATTCTTGTAATGTTTTTGAAAGTATTCGAAAAGGTCCTGGTAGTCCCTGGGCACCTCGCCATGCTCAGAGAATCGCACAAACATGTGGGTGAGCTTTTGGAGTGTTTGCTTGTGAAAGTTGTTTTGGTGAGTCTGCGATTTGTTTAGCGTTAGAGCGTTCCAGTGCCCCTATGTTCGAGTATTCTATACCTTCATGTTGCCAAGCTGAGAAAACGACTTGTTGCAGTCGTCGAGTCGGCAGACAAAGGGCTTCAGGCCTTTGTGTGTCTCTTCATGGGAGCGAAGGTTTCCCCGCTGAGCAAAGCACTTGCCACATGCAGCGCAAGAGAATGGCTTTTCACCAGTATGACGCCGTATGTGAGTCTATCCACATCCAAGCTGGTCAGTATATGTCTTCTTAGGTGTAGTCACTTGTGGCTGGCGCTTACCTTGAGGTTTCCACGCTGTGAGAATGTAAGGCCGCAGTTTTCCATGTGGCAAACCTGTCATCGGTTAGTCGGCGTTGCATCAAAGAGGAGGTGGGAGCCTACATATGGTCTGTGGCCGGTGTGGGTGCGTCGATGAATGTCGCGATGCGTCTTCTGGACAAAGGCTTTGCCGCAGTTGGGGCCATCGCAAACCCATTGTTTTCTCGGCTTCCCGCTCTGAGTGCGAAGTACGCGAGTGCCTGTTGCACAGTCCTTTGGTGTCTGCGCAGGCGTGAGAGTTTGCTGGCACTCCTCGGTCGTCTGTGTCTTTTGGATGGCTTTCATGAGCTCATCGACCTCAGTCCTAAAGGTGATTCTATCGCCGGGATGAATCGTCTCGTTATAAGTGAGAGTCTTGGAGTTGATAAGCTGGGACCCAGCCTGGTGGTTGGGAGTGCTGGGGCTCTGAGCGTCGGAACCTGAAGCGACAGAGAGGGGAGTAGCTGGACCTGGCGTGACGGGAGCCCTTGAAGGCTTGGTAGCGACTGAAGTAATCGATCCCCTCCGCGATACGGGAGAATAGGGTTGGTAATCTCTCATCGCCTCAGAGTGGTGTCCACCGACCGTAGAGTTTGCCATGCGCGCAAGAGGGTGCTCGGGAAACTCGCTTTTGAATGGAGAACCAAGGGGAGTTGACGGTGGTGGACTGTGGTATGGCACATAGGAAAATGCTCCCGCGTGTTGATACTGAGAAGACGACATAGTGGGCATCTGGGGCTGGTTATAGTTCGAGTTCACCAAGTACTGAGTAGACATCTGCCGCTGCATCTGATTGTCGGCCGGAGCTCTGGAATCATATGGCATGAATCCTGGAGAGTTCATCATGGGATAGCTTTGCGGAATCTGCTGAGACCAGCGGCCCCAATTGGCCTGAGTCTGTTGTTGAGCTGCGAGAGCCATCGTTGCCGGCCGGTGCTCTTTTGTGTAACCCCAAGTCTGATGGACTCGAGAAATATTGATGTGACTCGAGGTACAAGTGTCTGAGAAGGGGTAAAGCACTCGATAGGATGGTAGGTATGAACGAAAATCCCCCTTTTTAGCGACTTATCATAGCCGATGCAAAGGAACCACACAAGTTTTCAAGGTTAAGAATGAGGGTCTCTGGCAGGCAGATAGGAGAAACGGACCGCCTTCTGGAAGGCGGTGATGGAGGGGATTATATACTGGGGGCCCAGGATGAAAAGATCTTGGGAGAGTGATGCGGTATCTAATTGGCATGAGAGGCAATCTACCAGGTTGATGGATGACTGGGGTTGTATGGAAGCCCAATCATCTGGGACTGTGAGTCGGAGATCTTGGGTTGAATATAGCCACATTCGAGATATGACTGGGGGCCTGGCCTTTAGGTTGCGGGCAAGGAAGCCAGCAAGGTACGGGTTTCCGTACCAGGGGGAGCGGAAAGAAAAAAAAAAACTAAAGCAAAGCTGCAGAGACGACAAGTAGGTACAATAGCTGACAGATGGTTTCTGACTGAAATGATGGGCCATGGAATTCACTCCCGGTGTGAGGTCTTTGAGCTGAGAGGATGGTCAAGACCAAAGCCAAGTAGCTGTGGCTTCCATAGCTTCGCACACGCCCCCTTCTGAATGGGAACTAAAACAGTTCCCCCGGTATTAGCTGAGTGATTGAGATGTGAAGGTTGGGGGAAAGGGCGTGACAAGGGACAAGGGGACAACAGGGTTGGCATGGGGGTGCGCCTCTCCAAGACTAGGTAGCTGGAGAAGCCAGGCGATGGCGGTACTTGGCCATCGTCCCGTAACAGAGAACAGCAAGATATGACAAGCGATAGACAACAGGCTACAGTAACAGGGGCTCGTAAAGAAAGAGAAAAGAAGGAGGCTATGTTCTGGGTACCAGGGTGGTTGGTTCGTCCCAACAGGACTTTTTGCCTCCTTGCCAACCAGGTCCAGGATAGCTGTGGCATCGCTGGCGGGCACCCTCACATCGGACCAGAGAGATGGAGCTGTCCGCCAGCAACGTGACCTGCGTACGAAGCGCTTCATATGAGTGTATCCACAGTCGCTTGAGATTCCCAGCAGTAAGGCTCGGGCCCTGGCCACGGCCTCCCATCTCAGCCTGTGCTCAATGTACGAGTACTAGTACTAGTAGTACATACCGTTTGGAATCCACTCTGGCCCTCGCACGCATATCAGCGCCTCTCGTACATTTCCATCGCGCGTTGGGCTTCGGATACAGCGATAGTCGCATGTATGTCTGAAGAAGAACAGCTGGCCGGATGCAATAGTCCGTCGCTTCTCTGACAGCCGAGACATATCGAGCCGACTTGGCCACTGGTTTTGCTGCAGGCGATATATGTTCTGAATTCGAACGTCCACACATTGCCACCAGGAGAGGAGGGAGAGCAGATGGAGGGGAAGGATGGGTGTGAATCATTCCGGGCCCCAGCTTGACGATGCCACGGGTGCCGTGGGGGTTGGACAGCAAGAAGCACAGCTCAAGGCGGACGGGTCCTCAAGGCAGACGGGTGACCAGCCGAGTGCTGCATCCAAGCACCGGAGGCATCAGAATCCAAGGATGACCAGCTATGCGGTTGCTCCTCTCCTGGTCCACGGGCCCGTATCACCTCTCGTTTGGTGTATTCAATTCCGTTGTTGGCGCAACCATTCTCGCAGCATGCCGTTCCTCAAGCCGCAGGGCCTCCAGAAGGTGGGTGAAGCTGCCCCGGCTCGAAGCAAAGAGCTGTGAAGTGGGATGGAGAGGAGAGGCATTGACCGACAGGGAGCTGCCGAGGTGTCGACCTGCCAGGATCTTGGAAATGACCAGTGGGGAGCAGAGACTCGGGAGGCGTGTCTCCAGAGGCTTGGAGGGGTGACTCAAGAAGCGAAGATGAGGTTGACATTTTGTGTGTGTCTGCGGCAGGAACGCCTGGGCGTTGCCGTAGCATAGTAGATACTATGAGTACTCGTATGCTGGTGTGCAATGGAAGGTGCGAAGGAGAATTGCAACTGGAGGCGGTGGACTGGTGGACTGGGGCAGGTGTGAGGGAGGGGCCATTCTTGCCATTTCGGGAAGCCAGGGGATCCCGGATCCCTGTCCAGACGCTACTGATGACAAGCTCTTTCTAGGGGTTCTATTGCGTACATCCAAACGAAGAGAAAGAGCGGCCGTTAATACAGACTGTGCTCGGTAGAAAGAACACCTGCCACCTGCTGTTGCAGAGCTTTCGATGGTTCGGGTTAGTATGATCGGACCTCGGAGGTTTGTCCACCGGGCGGCACGTTCCAAGGCACGCTGCTTTGGCATATCGAGGCTTGCGTCTGCTTCTGTGAGTGAAGATTTATATCGTGTGGGAAGTTGATGGCAAGGTGATTGATTGGTTTCTGTTCAAGAAGAAGAACAGAAACCGTACGATTGCAGTTGAAGCTTTTGAGCACTTTTCACCAGTGCCGTGCCACTCATGCCAGCAGCTGCGCTGTCGAACGGGCTCTTCAATGCGGCCTTGGATAGTGGTAGCAGCACAGCAGGCCCATGCTTTGTACCGACTCAAACTATTGGTGTAGGAGCATCACTAATATCGTTACCGTTTAACTCCTTCAACGCTATACGTATATCCCGCGTTTGGCTTCGAACTGATACGCATATGTGGACTACGGCTGACCTGTACTCTTCGGAGGCACATGTCAGCTGCGCTACAAGCCTTTATTCTATCTGCATGCTCCATACCAGCTCTATAGAAGTGGCAGTAGAAGCGTACCTTACCTACGTTGCAAGCTCGTACTGCGTAAGAAGCACATTGAATACACAGAATAGGCCTTACACGCTCCGGCCCTAAAGGCGGAGCCTGTGATCGCCTGCTAGTGGCACGGCAAGTTCCAAGCCCGGCTACCGCTCGGACAAGGCCGCCCGTGTACGAGCAATTCAGACGGGAGGGGTAGCAAGGCTTTCTCTTAGGTACCTAGGCCGGGGGAGAGAGGCGGGCTGTACTAATGCTGCTCTATGGCAGCACTATGTAAACATTCGTGTCAATCTAGAGGCACTACCCGCTGGGCACTACCATTTATCGTACTAACATTGTGGATGGATCAAACCCTGAGCTCTACATACACTGTCCCGACCATGCTCGTCTTCCCCTCTGTGAGCCCTGGACGGTCGGCGGTCCAGTCATGCCGCGCCGGACGGTCTCAGCCGGTGGATCCCCATTTCCCCTTCCCCGTGCCCCGGGGGAGGGGCGCTTCATCTCGCACATTTTTGAGGCCCATTTTGGATGTAGAGTAGTACCTATACATATCCATTGATGGAGAAGGGCGATGCTCCTACAAGTCCCATACTGTATAGTAGTAGGTGTTGTCGATGATGTCCTCAAAGGCCGGCAGATGTCGTCGATGTTGCACATGCTCTTGAGGGTGCCTCACCAGTACCTTAGCTTGAGTGGTGTTCGGCACTGGCAAGAGGTTGCATTGAAGCTGGGGGTTTCCAGCTGGAATAAGGGCAAGAGCACACCAGCTGGGCCGGGAGCGACTCGCAACCGGATTGGGCAATAATTGGCAGATGCACTCGTCTGATTCGTCGAGGCGAGGCGTGCCTCATGATTACCACTTTGAGGCTAGGCTTCTTTCCTCACTTTCTTCCACGCCTCCCCTCTCTCACTTCACCAAACTTGCACCGTACACGCCTACCCAAGTAATAGCTCCAACCAGCCTGGAGAACCGCAGATGCTCTGCCATTGCTCATCCCGTCTCAGTATCGACGTGTGAAGCGTTCCTACGAGCGCCCAGGTGAGTTACATGGCCTTGCCCTGCTCTCCAGCGCCCACCTGGTAAGTAGGTACCTTACTGACCGACCGCAGCAGGGCCACATTTACTCGTACTGCCACCATCTTCCATGGTGGTATCTCTCCGTGGCTGGTCGGTAACAACCATCCGTGCGGTCTGCAATGCGCAGCATGTCCACCGTCATTTCGGTATCAAGAAAATTTGCCTCGTCACCTTTCGTCACCGTCGGCATGCTTGGACGTGTATTGGCTGACCGTGTCCAAGCTGGTGGATGCCACTCTTACTCCGTGCTCCGGTCAAGCACGAAATACAAACTCCCGTCCTCCTCATGCTACAAAGTACCGGACGGTATACTGACTATTAATAGAAATGCGTTGCCATAATTTCACATTAATATTATCCCTTATATTACTCACGCAGGGAGGGCTCAAACGAGGCACCAGGTTACAGCGCATCTTACTCGGAGCGCCAATGACTACGTACACAAAGCAACGCGTCGGCTTTATGCGGCCCGCACAGTCACATGCTGGATGCATAAAATAGTGGTGACCAGCAGACCAGGGGCCAGGCAGGGAACCCGATTTCTTGGGACTCGATCCGTCTGTGAGCATCACTGGCCACCAGGGGTGTGCCTCTGACATGGATACAGAGATCCTAGCCAGGGGATTGCACCCGGTTGGCCAGCCAAGTCACGAGACCTGCCTCTCCGGACCAAGGGTGGGCGGCCGAGAGAGGAAGAGAGGGAGAGAACCTGCCTGTACAGACTTCGTACTCGCGCCAGGTCTCCGCTCGCCCGCACCGTGTGCGGCAACAAGTTGTGGTCATTTTTGAGAGATTGCCCACGTCCACGCATGCACAAAGTACTTGGAAAAGCGCTTCAGAAGCTCATGTACAGAGCGGCCTCGTGGCTTGTGTTACCTCGAGCAGCAAGGCCGCATTCTACACATGTGCAACGGCATGTCCATGATGATCAGGGCTCCTTTGGCACATCTCTTTCTAAGCTTGCCTGATCCTGGAAAATGGAAAATGGTAAAGACAAGAGGGGGGGTTCATCTGTTTAGGTACCGTCAAGTACATAATCTCCTCCGCCTACGTTGCGCTGACTTTTTCTTTAGGACGACAATATGCAGGGCTGCCGCCAAGTGCTTCGGTGACAACGACAAAAGGGGG